TTGACCCAAGTTACTTTCTCAGTTGGAACTTTTAAAAGGCATTTGACAACAGTCCAACACTCACCAAATGACAGACGCAAGATTATTTCAAAGGGCAATAATTTTATCTTGTCAGTGGGTAACTATATGCTTTATGCTCTCAAACAGCAGTGACCCCAGGTCCCCCCTTTTTACCAAATAGTGCTTGAGCATTTATTACGATACATGTACAAATGAATGATTTGCGGGCTGCCTGTGTGGTCAAATTGTTTCAAGTCTGGTACATACAATCACTTTTGCATTTATTAGAATACATAAGTATATGTTTTTGGAAGAAAACTTTCTAATTCTTAGTTGCTAAACACATATTTTCTCCACTGAATCATCCTGCCACAGCCACTCTAGTTCAAATTCCAGTCACATTGGACCAAGATAAACTCCACATGTCCTATTGGGTGTAATTTGTCCAAACTAGATCTGTTCCAAAAGACTTTTGTTTTCCAAAAAAGACTTTCCACAAGACATAGTTAGCTAATGTAGCCAAATCATAACTTGGGTACAGTATATTACATGGGCGGATACAGAGGGGGGGTGCGCACCCCCCTTTTTATTTCGAAAAAATTCTTTATTTCTGTATAAATTACCACCAAAGACAATAAATAGATCTTAGTTGTGCACCCCCCTTTTAAAAAAAGCTGTATCCGCCTCTGTATTACCTGGTGTAGCAACCACAGGGATTTTATAAATTTTCTATTTTTAAATCTGTGAAACTTAGAATTTGAAGGTACTTGATATCGAATGCAACTACATGTTTTTGACAACTTTATATCATTATCCTGAAAATTAAATAATCTGAATAACAAAAATGTGTGGGGAATCACCCGGGCAGGAAATTTTGTCCACTAAACATGCTCTTTTGACAGCTGACATAGTGGTTAGTTCAACACTCTTAAACTGTTAGATTGGCATTCTAGTTTGTATGCTTGGTTGTTTGTTGTTAAACGCCGCACTCAGCAATATTCCAGCTATATGACGGCGGTCTGTAAATAATTGAGTCTGGACCAGACAATCCAGTGTTTGACGTCATGAGCATCGATCCACACAATTTGGAGACGATGACATGCAAGTCAGCGAGCCTGACCAGTGATTATCCGGGGTAGAATAGGCCTTCAGCAACCCATACTTGCTGTAAAAGGCAACTATGCTTGTCTTAAGAGGCGACTAACAGGATTGGGCATTCTAGAAGTTGGCGAGTAAATCAGACAACATACAACATTATGGATGACAATGTCTCGGTTACACTGTTCCCTAGTTTAAAATAGACCAGAAGTTGTTATCCATGAAGTTGTACATTTCTTATTTGATCACTAACTTCTAGAATGCCAATCAAACAGTGAGTGTGACCTCAATATGGAGGCGTGGCAGTCATATCAATCAAGCTTGAAAACAGTGTAAGAATCTACATGGAAATGTCATTAATGCAAAAAAACAGAACTTGTTATCCATAAAGTTGTACATTTTCTTATTTACTCTCCATCTTCTAGAATGCCAATCAAAAGGTTTGTAAGATGGAGATGTGGCAGTCATATTCTTCAAGCTTGAGAACGGAATAAGAATCGACATCGAAACGTCGCTAATGCAATAAAACAGAAGTTATCCATACAGTTGTACGTTTTCTTATACACACCAGGAAAGATTTAAAAAAACATCATACAGTTCCATCAGTATATTATTTGAAAAATATGGCAGATATATGCAAGTAAAATACTTACGACAAATAGACATTGAACATTTTCAGTTACTGCTCATTTGAATTGCCCTGTATGGCAGATAGAAATGCTATTATCCGTGTTTTGTATCTTTTGGCTCTTGTGACAAATTCTTAGCATTTTCTGATGTGTAAATTGAGAGATACTAGATTTATGTGAACGCCAGCTTTTTTGCCCAAGGCAGTTTGCCTATGTTAAAGGCATGCTGGGAAGGCTATGAAGTCAATCTTTTCTTAGTTTTATTATCACAGTTTACTTCTCATCATGGCTAAGTACCACTGATTCCCAATGTGTATTAACAACTTATCAGAACATGCATAGAGGGGTTGTTTCAAGACAAGGAGTTGGTAACTTCCAATACGGGACATGAGACACGTACACACTGTGAAGGAACAAGAAGAAAGTCCTCAGTAGCAGCTGTGGGTGCCATTGTCTGGGCTTGCAACATCAATCAATCTTGCTGGGACATAAAGCCTTTCTGCAATAAATACATCTACTTCTGAGGTTATTCTGAAGGACATGCACTATGCTATCAAATCCTTCAAAAGAATCTCATAAATTTGATAAAGATATAACCACAATTCACAAAGGGCCTTTATTTAGAGGTTAGATATTGCCTAAACATGGTATAGTTGTTGTGTAGTTAACCATGTCCAATTGCATTCCCATGGTATTTGATATTGTTCAGCAACCCCTAGAGGTATTTTAATATGTATGATGCATCTCAAAGAGATCCAGCACCTGTTGATCACCAACAACCTGTTGTGGTTTCAGATGTAGGATGTTTTTTGTGTCAATAATTTGTTTTAAACCACCACTGACAGCTTATAGAGATCGTTAAAAAAGAAATGTAAAGAGAAATCTGTAGGGACTGAGTGGTATTGAATTTCACATTCATACGCCTATGGTTGTATTATTTAATTGTACAAGACTTGCAGTCCCACTTGTACATTGTGAATGACCCTGTTGTATTGATCCCTGTGTGGAGCTAAGTACAGTTAGCACACATATACTGGTTTGAGAGCGCTCCCAGTCAGGCAGCTATAAATAGGCTGACATTGTAGCAGGCTCGGGTCAACGTTATTAACCCACTTTCTAGGAATGAACATTTGGTATTGACATTACTGGTGCATATTGTTATTCCAGCATATAGATGTGTGAGAAATGCAAATGTACATTGACCATAGAATGCTCGCTTTGGCCACTGTTGTCAGAGCAGCCATTGAAGGCTTGTAGTACATTGCTGGGCAAGGGAGGAGGGACAGAGAATAAAGTTGAATATTCATGCTGGGAGCTGGCACTTGGCCAGTAAAGGAGAATGGAGTCTCATGAAATAGCTATGTACTTTTACAGCATTCACATAAAGCTGAAGAGGAAGTATTACTGGACATGTTTTGTTACGTTATCATTCATGTTATTGAATATCTCTTGTCCTGCTCTGACAGTAATCCAAAATACGTTTTAAGTGATTTTCAATATTTATATTTCCTATCTTCAGGGAAAAGTAAGAATAATTTTTCATCAGGAATTTGTACATTTTGACAATTAGCAGTTGTCCTTTTTAACATATTTAAAGTATTGAGTGAGTAAGCTGGGTTTGATGCCGCTTAAACAGTATATCCAGTTATAACATCGCATGTCAGCATTCATGTGGGAGGAAAGCCAGAATTGATGCAGGTCTTAGTCTTTTACCACTTTCCTTGTTTGGGGAAACCCAGGAGCACGGGTATGGGGCTGACAAACCTGAAAACATAATCAGGTGGAACCGGGATATGAATCCACAATGATAGGTTTCTGGTGTACCTAAGGGATGCAAGTACTGAGAGATGTTTACTCAGCATCATTATTGAAGGGTCAGCTAGGTATGTACGGTGTCAAACATGAACCTATGCTGACAAGTGTTAATACAGAGCTACAGATAAGCAGTGTATTTGGTAAAATCCCCCCCCAAATATTCAAAACCCAATTACTTTCAACAGAGCTCCAGATAAGCTGCGTATCTGCGTGAAATACGCATCAGAAATGCAGAAATACACAGTAAAATATAATCCAAGCGTATCAAATACGCAATGAACATTACAGATACGCTACAAAAATAAAACTTGTGTGTATCATCAAAATATTGTGAAGTAACCCTGCGTATTCGATTAGCAAATCAGCAACTTATTTTGAAATTATAAACGGGCATTCCGTCAACCTTGCCAAACTCCATGATGACAGTTACATCATGATCATTTGCCATCACACTTTCTTGTGGAAGTATCGTGGTATTTTTGAGTCCTATAAAGCTCTCGAACCCACACGACACCAGTTTGCTGGGAACTAGATGAATAGTGTTTTTAAATATTTAACTTAAATACCCACATGTGTAAAAACTAGTGGGTAAAAGAAATTTGAATACGCAGATAGAATTACTGATACCCAATGATTTTAAAATGCATGGGTAAAATACCCACAACACCAAAAGCTTATCTGGAGCTCTGCTTTCAATTAACTTCTGTACAGAAATGCATGCATTAAATGAAAAACTCAAATGTAAAAAAACAGCACAAGTAAATACCCGATGAAGCTTTTTCAGCATGCGTACAAAGGAGCTAATTTCCAAAACAATTACAAACTAATTTATATACATTTAGAACAGTTATATATATCTAAAACATTATTTCTGGGGTTTTTTAATCTTAAAATGTTCACTAATTTGGGGAAAAACCCAATAGAGTGATGAATAGAGGAGTGAAAAAATATTGGTTACCCAATGAAAAATGTAATAACCCAAATAAAATAGAAACCCTAGAGTAAAAACTCAATTGCTCAAAAAGTTCTGATTTATAGGCCTGAGTATGTTTGACAAAATGGTTAATAGTTGAAAAACATGTTGTTTATGTATGTCACACTGATTGGATGCTTTTATTAAGCTGTAGAAATGGACAATGAATATTAAAAACGATGAAAAGATTGAAGGTGATGGAAAAAGCTTCTCAAAATACACGCCCGAACGCAACCAGTGGTTTTAACCCATGTTCATGTCTGCCTAACCCCTCAATAATGACACTGAGTATACATATATTTCATGGTTATGTAACTAATTTTCATTCACAGGATTTGAGACCAGGATATTTTTTTATATGGATATCAATAGCATGAGTGAGAATGAGCTGATATTAATGTCACATGATTAATATTTCAGCCATTTAGTGATGAGAACAAAATATTTGTAGTGTAACTTACATTGTTTATCCTTTTGTTTTCCAGAATTCAATTCGGCACAATTTGTCCTTGCACAGTCGCTTCATGCGTATTCAGAATGAAGGAACAGGCAAGAGTTCTTGGTGGGTTATCAACCCAGATGCCAAGCCAGGGAAGACCCCCAGACGGAGGGCAGGCAGCATGGAAACCAAAAACTATGAAAAGAAGCGTGGTCGTGTTAAGAAGAAAGTGGAAGCTTTAAGAGCTGCTTTAGAGGCTGGTGGCAGTCCATCATCAGCTTCAGAGGACTTTTTAGATACAACCTTTGGCTTTGACTTTCGACCACGAGCTAGTTCTAATGCTAGTAGCTGTGGCCGGCTTTCTCCCATCCAAGCTGCTGTAGAACCAGATTTACATGATAACCAGGTACCCCCAATGTCTCCTATACCATGGGGACCTGAAGTGGATTCAGGGAATTTCTGTTATAGTTCTGATGGATTTACAGATCAGTTAGTGGACACTCTAGTAGACAGTATGAAACTAGCAGAACCAAATAACATAGGTTTGACAGGTTCTGAAAGTTTAGATTTGGTAGGGAATGGGTTACAAGAACAATTCATGCAGAATGGTTCTAACAATGATTTGACTATGTCTGATTTCAATCAAAATTCAAATTATAGTCAAAATGGAAGTTTCAGTGGTCAGTTTGCTAACCTCCCAGCCCCACCACCTTACCCTGAGTCGTTGCAACGCAACACTCAGTCACCTGCCCAGCAGTCTGTGCCTCAGACAGTGATGAGCAACCTAGAGCGTGTAGCCATCTCTAACAGTCGTTTCAACAACTTGGGTTTGCGACAGAATCTGTTCGGGCAGCAAGACTTGTACCAGCAAGAGTCTAGCATGAGCCAGGACTTAGCAGCCCAACTAAACACAACCAATCAGCTGACTATAAACACACAGCCTCAGATGACATCACCTTCTCGATCTCCACAACAGGCCAGCCCAATTGGGTACGGGAATGGGTTCAGTCCAAGTGTTTCCCCACAGCCCCACCCAGGTCAACCGCGCCAGCTCTCCCCACAGCCACGGCAGATGTCTCCTCAGCAGGCTCCAGGATCCCCAGCATCTGGCTCAGCAACTGCCCAGCCCCGCACGGTGCTGCAACAGCAGCTCCAATCTTCCAATGACTCCATCCTGCGAGCAGCACTCACCCAAGGAGGGGCCGCCATGAGTTACACCCTGCCCACCACGACTGCCAGTCACTCACAGTTCTCACAGATGAACATGCCTTACTCCCGTGCCCAACTGAATGGCCCTGTTTCAACCACATGTAACAATATGGACAGTCAAGACTCCAACATGGATGAGGTCCTTGCAACTCAACTTGGCCAGCAGCTTAACAACCAGAGAAGCCAAACACCTTTACAATCGGGAAGCTTTCCAAACACAGGCTCTGGCAACATGAACAGTGGACCCGGTGAGGGAGATGTACCTATTGATATAGATATAGAAAACTTGATATTTGGATTGGACTGTGACCTTGATCAGATCATTAAGCAAGAGTTGTCTCTAGAAGGCAAATTAGACTTTAACTTTGATGGGAGTGCCAATGTTCCTCCAGCCACCAACAAGAATACTGTTTGATGATACTCATGGTGGCGTTATAACATCTTAGTGCTGTACTTATGTGATGTGATGTATTGTGATGTGATTATGTATGAGGAACCATGGCTAATGAGAAACCAGTATGGATTCTGTGGCACAAGAATGGTGAGGCAATGGTAGCTATATAGGGCAGCATGCCTGTTTGCTAGCAGGCGAGCAGAGACATTTGAAGATCAGGGAGGTTGTCGGTCACGGGACTGATATTACAGGCGGATACATACAAGAAACCAACTTCTACTGCTACAAATGTCAAATCAACATACATTCATGGACTACATGCACTATGAATGCACCTACTGTTGTATGACATGTATATTTAATGCATGTTTGGTTTACATATTGAGCAAGTGCACAAGGATTGTTCCCTTGGGTGTCGAGGTATGGTAATGTTGAAGACACAGGCCATGACTTCTGTATCAAGTGTTGTCAAGAGCCAGGCCTGATGCAGTGTTTACCTAGTGTAATAGCTGAAGCCGGCTTTATTTTACAGGATGTGCTATTTCACTATAAACTAGACAGTGTACATATTTCTGCCAATGACATAAAGAACATCTTCATTATTGTTGACAGAATTGGGATGTGGCATCCAAACGATTCACACATTTTTCATAATGACTTGATCACCTTCATAATATTGTGTATGACTTCTAATTTATATATTTGATGCAGTTCTTGTTTCATTTGCCAGTAGTTTGTTTTAGAGGTGAGACATTTTAATAGTGGGTCTTGTTCATCATTGCTCCAGCCAACTTCCCTACTCAGAAATAAGAATGTTCATAGCATCTTGTAGACTCACACTTTCAATTGAAATATTTGTGAATGTTCACCGTGGTGAAACAAGAACGTGTCTGTACAGTCAGTCGAAATATGTGTTCATTTGTAACCAGGATTAGAAGGAAGGTTGCATGTATTGCAAAGATTTGATACTTTAGCAGTAAGGTAGGAAGTGAGTTTTGGTAATGTGTCTTTTAAGAAATTGGTTTGTGTACAATGCTGCCGATCAGGCCAAAACAAGGAAATTGTCTTTCAATGGCACGAAACTGTCAACAGTGACATGTTCTCTCAGAAAAAATACAATTCTGTGAAATTAGATGTGTTAAAGAATCACAATTTGAAGTAATAGTGAAAGAATTTGTGATATGGTTGATGCTTGTTGATAATTTATGAAAGTCTGCATTCAGTGTATACATACTTTGTTACATGTACAAATTTTAAGCAACCAAGTGTTTGTTGCATTGGTGTCTTATATAGTGCTGTCTGTCGATGTCCAGAATTATAACATGGATGCCAGTTACCTGATGGAAAAATTGGATGTGATAGTAAACCTGTCTCTTATAGAGGAACATTCCTGCTTATACAGTATTTTATTGTTTAAAGTGTCAGTAGATTTTTACTAACTGAAGAGCCAACAAGAGTTTTATGTTTGGGAAGCAGAGGATTATTTCTAAAAACGTTTTGGGGACTGGGTAAAGTTTGGATGAGATTCTAATTATATATTCTTTCCCAGAAAGTTATAGAATTGGTTTCTATTATTATTGTTTGCAAACCTTTTCCTTGTCATTGAATGTTTTGACTGAGCTTCTGCTCTGTTATCTTAAAACCGTTTATGAAGGTGACGAACCTGGCTCTGAAAATATGGTCTAATGGGCGACATGTATATGAAGGAATGTTTCTCAAATGTTACTAAGTTTATAGCATTTAGCAATACAAGAGACTTGTGCCAAGAGAAATAATATGATTTGGAGGATTTTGTGTCGTTCAAAAGCGATCATAATTACAAATATTCACTCATATATGATTGTTGTAATAGTTGCCAAACATTTAATCAGATGTAATTTTCAAAGAGGTTAATTCCTTAGAATTGAGGATTTAACCATAGATACCTCATTGCTGTGACCCAGATATGACATTATGTCAACTAAGGTGCGCCATTGAAATCAGTGACCGTTCAGTGAACTCATCTCGCATGATGAAGTTGAATAGACAGCACAACAAATGGAATTTGTAACAGTTTTGAGCATCATTTGCCAGTTCATTTTATTGATCAGATGTAACATATAATTATCCGCTATTTGAATGGATCAAATTGAACATTCAAATTGAATTTCAAAATTATGACTTTTGGATGCTCATATAATTCGGTATGTTGAGTTTGTTGGCTGTTTCCATGAATACCTGTCGCAACTGAGGTCAGCTGTACCTGAAGCAATTGACTTAACACTGGATATCAAACCATTTCTTGTTTTGGCCACAACATGTGCTCTCTGTTATCACCCTCAAAACTGCAATGTTACAGCTTGTCTCCACCATAATCTAGCGGCATGTCTGAAAGGTCATTTGCAGCATCAGTCCATCACTCCCCCTAGAAGCTGATTTTTTGTGGAGGGTTGGTGCTCTTCCAGTAGTGAATTTAAAGTTACTCAGATGGTCATGTTGGAATTGCGAAGGTTTCTGATGAGTGGACATATCTGATTTATATACAATGTTGAATATATAGGATTTGAAAGTATGAATATTCATTTCTTCTTTGATGACTATGTCAGAGCCAGTGTTAAGTTCAAAGGCTGATAGGTTCAGATATTTCTCAGGAAGATTATTGACTCTTCTCCTTTCTCTCTCATTAATGAATACAAGAAAACGTTGTTTGTTGATTTGTCTGTTGTATATCAGTGTATATAAGGTGTACATTTTTAAAGCGAGTTGATTTTCCTACTTCTTGTTCTTAACTCATAGCTATAATTGTTTAAATGGTGGATCATCTCCTTCACTGAGTATCCCAACCTGTGATGTTTGAATGTTTGAATGAGGTGTGAGTATATATTTATATAGTTTTGTTATTTAACCCGAGAGGAATAGCCCGGCTTTTCTTCCCATATCTCAAATTCACTAGGTAAATTTATTATTAGTTGTTAATGATTTGTCTTTATTGTTTTGATGTAGAAAATGCAGTGCTAGGTCATTTTGCCATTTAAAATATGTAAGGTCACGAACATAATATGAAAAAGTGTCTTTCGTCTCTGTGTCTATCAGCAGAATGAATGGAAGCCTTGTACTAACATGTGGATACCAAGACGGTCAGTATCGGGTGATATTCCATAGCAAGTTTGCTGTTTATCCAATCTCAATCTCACCAGCATTGTCTGCACAATTGACTCAGTAGTTCCCTCTCTTCCACCTCACGATTAAAGAAACACCAAGAGTTTTCTTGTTTAGGGTTACGACTATAATTATAGTAGTATAATCATTTTTATGTAATAACTTTATCACATTTATGGTTTTAATATATCATGTTTAAACAGGGCTTGTGGTACATGATCCAGAATTCAGGACAGTTCAGAATTAATGTAGATGAAATCAACTTTATCACTAGTACTACCCCCACGCAGTGGTTAAACAGAATTCCCCAAATCTAATTGTAGCCATGTAATGATATTGTGATAAATAGAAAGCTTTCTCTTCCATTGACTGAAAGGACATGATTACGGCATTTTCCCCTTCATACCGGAGTCATTTTAATAGCCTGCTAACAGCAGGCACTGGTAGTTGCAATGCCTGAATGCTCACATTCTGAAATTTCTATTATTTATATTAATACAATTATTGTTGAAGCTTTTATTTCATCAACATATGAATATGTTGCCTCGTGATGTCTACCTTTAATATAGTGCTCCTCAAATATTATTAGTTTCACAGACGTTTATTCCACGTCCATGGAAGTGGAACTATAATTAGTCTATTTTTTTTCACAAATTTATGATTTATGTGACAGTTTTATCACTGATACTGTGGTATGAAATTTGGTTAATGGAGAGTTTTGACTCAACTGAGCCAAACTTGAAAAGCCATAAACTTGAATTTTTCACTTGCTTCTCCAGTACCGATGGATTGAGATGAACCTTGGTGTTTTTGTTCCTGGCTATGGGAGTAGGGGGGTTAGGGGGAATGTCTTATTTGTTCAAGGTATCATGATATGAAACAGACATTGGCTTTCCTGACTTGTGTATGATGTCATTGTCTGTAATTTTTTGCATATCCATTTCAATATGAATTGAAAATTGAAGTCTGCCCTTAGTTGATTGGCGGAATTTCAAATGGCTGTAAATTCTTTAAATACCAACCAAATTTGTAAAATCTTTTGTTATTGCTTTGCATCTGGTTGTCGTTTTGGTACGGTTGGCATTTTGATTATTAAAATATTCTGCTGAGGTCATCCTCAGGTTGGCGGAAATTCAAATTGTTTACCATATTTGCAGTAGTCATCATTTTGGGTGCTTGTAATATTGACAAACTATTAAAACTGTAGACAACAAGGTAAGTTTGTTTTCAGAGATCTGTCAGTAGTGAAGGTACAGGTTAAAATGAAAGCGAAAATTAACTGTCTTTGCTAATAGTTACCCGGTACTAGCAAATTATGTACCCCTTGAATAAAATATCTGTAATATATACAAGAAACTATGGACTGTCATGTAAATTTTAGGTCTTAGTAGGGGCTAAAGATTATTTACAGACTGGTCTAGAAGTTGGTCAGGGAGCACTTATTGAAGCAGGGTGTTTACAGCGAATACAGTAATTCCCGAAATATTAAGCAAATTTGTTCCAACCTTGGTGATAGTAAAATTTCATTGTCTATGCATATACATAACCATTTGCATAGGAATAGATGTGAATGACGTGAGCAATTTTCCAGTGAGCCAGTTGAAGTACATAGTCTTTGGGCTGTTGTCATTGGTGTGTATGCTGATTAATGTATTTAAGCATTTACTTCAATATGGTGTGAATAATGCATAGCAGATTAATGCAAAGTGTACACACGTTATAACTCAATAAATGCAAAAACATATTGAAGTCAGTTCTTGTAAATAAATACGTCAACAATAATGACATCACAGAGTGCTTCTTTAAACATTAGGACACAGAAAACTAGGCAACAATATTAATTCAGTGCAATAATGCAATACCAGCCCTGCCAATTCTGTTATTAACCAATCGAGAAACAGTACTCTGTTGGTAGGCATGACCTAATTTATATTCAGTTTATGGTAACATTAACACAAAAAATTGCTTGGTTTGGCAATCAAATGTCATGGAATCACTTGCAATTTATTTATATGAAATTAGAAATGAGAGTCACATGAGTGTTTTTTTTATGGTGATTCCAGTGTAACAAGTAACCATTATGGGGATTCAAATAATACACAAAACTCAAGGTCCCAAGGATGCCAAAAGTATCTAACACTGCAATTGAATTTTTCAGTTATTTTCTATCTCATTTGAAATGTCATGGTCCTACTAGTGTAGATACATTTTGTTCACATCCCTGTGTTTCTATGAGTGATTGACATTTATGGACCCAGTAGATTGTTATCAATTTGGCATTTGTATGGGACATATCCTCTCCATCCTTTATGGTATTTGTCATCTTGAAGTAAAATTATTAAGATTGTGCCTTGTCGATACAACTGCACACAAGTAAAATAATACCCTACCTTATTGTACCATCTTGTTCCAAACTAGACTAATGACTTAATCAGTGTATTGAGTCTGACTTAATTGATGAAATGGATTGTGTCCACCATCTGCAAGTAAGTAAAGAATTCTGCTAGTGCAGTACACTTTAATGGTTTTAAAAAAATTCTGTTGGCCATGGAAATGTATAGGCATATTGTGAACATCTTTTCTTCTATCCTTTCATACCTTAGAAAGTTATAGAACAACTTTATGGGGATTTGACACTGATAAACAGGCTCATTAAAATGTATTACCATATGCCCCTGTAAAAGGTTACTTTCCATCAAAATTAAATTTAGATTAATTTAATTGTTTTTATTATGCTGTTAGATTTCATCTGTTTGGTCACTATCTCAGGACATGATGACTGCCTTTATCATGAAGCATTTGATCATTATCGGTCATTTGAGTAATAGACAACTTATTCTGTTTTTAATCCATTAATGTGATAGGTATCAATACCTAGTGCCTTGTTCTTGATTTTATCACAAATGGTGTCATGTTGAATTTGAAATTTGCAAGGCAGTGATACCTTTAGCAATTGTTTGAGCCTGTATATGCCACAGGTCTGCTCTTCATGTATGTTTCCCTAAACCAAGTTAACTTTTTTTTAAGTAAAAGGAAGTTACCACTTTTCTTATCATTAAAATATTTCTTTAAGAATAACTTTTTATAATTCACCAGTGATGTCTGTCTACTTCTGTTGGTTTAGGGTAAACTGATTCATCCCAGAGCTGTCCTTTTGCATTGTTTTGGTTGGAGTCAGTTTGTGAATTGTATCAGAAAGTCATATTTTCATTGCTATCAAACTGGTAGCATGTGTTTTACCGTGATATTTTAGAAATCAAGTTCAAATTTTAAGTGTTCTGTTGAAATCATAGAGAGATTGTTTTTTATTTTCTTTATATATTGGGCATTTGCTGAAGTCTTTTGAAAGATGATGCCCTCATGTCTTAACAAACAGTATATCATATGAATATATATAAATATATTTTTGCGTACGATGTACATGATAATTTGTTCAGTTTGCAGAGTTTGAGGAATGTTGTTCTGTGGGATGTTCATGTGATTAAATACATTATAGAACAGCTATAGATATTCCTCATGTAAAGAAAATCATAGGCATGTTGAGATTTTGACTCACTACACTCCTGTGAGGCACCAACAGGATGTGTATGTAATATGTGTTGGTCTAAGAGACTCAAGATTATATTGTACAAAGTGAGTTTATGATCATGCTTTCCGCAGTAGTGTCACATTCAGAGCTCTGTTTTCTTGACAATGACAACATTGTAAGAGCAGGGATCTCATTGCATTCATTATGTTCAGTTTTAATATTCTATCATAACCTTTTTAGTTGAAATGTTATTAATGTAACATGTAATTCTGACATGTGTTTTATTTGATATTGAATCCCCAGTGCTAGTGTAGTGTACTGATAACAGGTTAGGTCCAGTCCGGCTTACTCCCATTGTCCTAGTAGAGTCAGTCCAAGTGTATTCGCAGAAAGGAAACATATCAACATTGTGCTCGCTTGTTGTTTTATTGTCACATGCTCAATAAACTCATAAAAGGAATAAGCTGTATTTTTGTTACTACTCATGCCTGGATGCTGCAGAAGAGTTATTTCTGTGTATGCTATGTGAGGTGGCTATTAGCTGTAACAGTTACAAGAGTGGTACCTCTGCCTGAAGCGTGACATCATTGATGTTAATCCCTCTGCCAGAAGGGTGAAGACATTGATGTTAACACCTCTGCCAGAAGCGTGAAGACATTGATGTTAATACCTCTGCCTAAAGAGAGAAGACATTGATGTTTATACCTCTGCCAGAAGCGTGAAGGCATTGATGTTAATACCTCTGCCAGAAGCGTGACAACATTGATGTTAATACCTCTGCCAGAAGCGTGACATCATTGATGTTAATCCCTCTGCCAGAAGGGTGAAGACATTGATGTTAATACCTCTGCCAGAAGCGTGAAGACATTGATGTTAATACCTCTGCCTAAAGAGTGAAGACATTGATGTTTATACCTCTGCCAGAAGCGTGAAGGCATTGATGTTAATACCTCTGCCAGAAGCGTGAAGCAATTGATGTTAATACCCCTGTCAGAAGAATGAAAACATTGATGAAAAGACCTCTGCCAGAAGAGAGAAGGTATTGATGTTAATACCTCTGCCAAAAGCGGGAAGGCATTGATGTAAATACCTCTGCCTAAAGAGTGAAGACATGTTAATACCTCTGCCGGAAGCGTGAAAACATTGATGTTAATACCTCTGCCAGAAGAGTGAAAACATTGATGTTAATACCTCTGCTAGAAGGGTGAAGACATTGATGTTAATACCTCTGCCAGAAGCATGAAGGGATTGATGTTAATACCCCTGCCAGAAGGACCGTCTCCGTGGTCTAGTGGTAGAGCGTCCGCCCGGAGAGCGGAAGGCCCGGGGTTCGATCCCCGACCGCGTCATACCAAAAGACGTTTAAAGATGGTACTTGTTGTTACCCTGTCTGGCGCTCGGCATTAAGGGGCTAAAACAAGGACTGGTCGGCTCGGAGTCAGTATACTGTGTCTGAGTGGGGTATTCATGTTAAACTGCGGCATGGTATCTCAGTGAGCTAGCACTATAAATCGGCATCAGTCCGGGCTAGTACAAGCAGCCACACACACACACACACACACACACACACGTGCATGCACGTCGCTATATAAGTGCAATAATCTTGGACGCGACGTTAAACCCCATTTCACCTCACCACCTCACCACCCTGCCAGAAGAGTGAAGACATTGATGTTAATACCCCTGCCAGAAGAGTGAAGGTATTGATGTTAATACCCCTGCCAGAAGAGTGAAGGCATTGATATTAATACCCCTGCCAGAAGAGTGAAGACTTTGATGTTAATACCCCTGTCAGAAAATTGAAGGCATTGATGTTAATACCCCTGTCAGAAGAATGAAGGCATTGATATTAATACCCCTGCCAGAAGAGTGAAGACATTGATGTTAATACCCCTGCCAGAAGAGTGAAGGCATTGATGTTAATACCCCTGCCAGAAGAGTGAAGACATTGATATTAATACCCCTGCCAGAAGAGTGAAGACTTTGATGTTAATACCCCTGTCAGAAGAATGAAGGCATTGATGTTAATGCCCCTGTCAGAAGAATGAAGGCTTTGATGTTAATGCCCCTGTCAGAAGAGTGAAGACATTGATATTAATACCCCTGCCAGAAGAGTGAAGACATTGATGTTAATACCCCTGCCAGAAGAGTGAAGGCATTGATGTTAATACCCCTGCCAGAAGAGTGAAGACATTGATGTTAATACCCCTGCCAGAAGAGTGAAGGCATTGATATTAATACCCCTGCCAGAAGAGTGAAGACTTTGATGTTAATACCCCTGTCAGAAGAATGAAGGTTTATGTTAATGCCCCTGTCAGAAGAATGAAGGCTTTGATGTTAATGCCCCTGTCAGAAGTGTGAAGGCATTGATGTTAAGCTGTTGGAAGAAAACGTTTTTTAAGCTCTTCTGAATGAAGTAAAGTGAGCTTATTCCATGGTATGTTATTTTGTCCCTCGTCTGTGTCCGTCGTGTGTGGTAATCAACTTCCCCGAAACCACGGCACCGATGAAGCTGCAACTTTGCATCCATGTCTCTGTGCTGTAGGGTTTAATGGCGTTAGGCTCCAATATACACATTTAGCACAAAGACACTTTTAGAAAATTTACGAGCCTACTCCTGACTGTACTCTGGCCATATCTAATTGATTTGGATATAATTAGGCAGACTTATTGAACACACCCTGCTATAATGAACACAGTAATTGCAAGGATCGGAGGTGGGAATGAAACCAGTCGGGAAAATAGTGCAAAATACATGATAAATCTTTATTTCAACACACGTGTATTAATGAATCTGGCTAATTAAAACCAGGAAGATGAACGTGATTGAGGGACCGATCATGTGACATTCTTGGGATGGGTGGAGCTGGGATATTGTATTGAGATCATATATTTTTTTATTTTTTTAACTATGATCCAAAATATATTTTTTTCTCAAAAAAGCATTGCAACAATGAATTTTTTCATGCAGTCAACTTCTTCCCCCCCCCCCCCCTCTAGAATTTACTGGGACAATTTATTTGGTTTGATAAAATCCAAGACCCCCCTCCACAATATCAAATGGTCAGCCCCTAGTATCAAAGAAGCAATACATGAATAGCATGTACAGTTAGAAGTTTGCTCTACCCCTATGTGTAGTGTAATAAAGTATAGTTTTGTCCTTAATTATTATAGTTGAAGTGCGAGGACGCTCGCCTTCTCATCAATGAGTCTTAGTGTAGAGCTGCTTGCGAGTCAGCTAAACTGGCGATATCTCGAGCTTTACCTAGAAGTATCTATTTATTGTTTTTTTTTTATGTTGGGACATTTACTTTTTACGAGCAAGAAGACTCAGGGGTCACTGAGGCAAGCAGCGCCCTCGTCTTTTCTGCAGACTGTACTGGAACCAGTTCCAACCAGATCGATCCAATTGCTGTGAACAAATCAATCACTTCCTTTATTGCACCAGAGATCAGGCCAGACAGCTCTACGAAGCTCGAGGAAACTGGCTAAACTCTATCGGGAGTGAATTATTCTTGACTGTCCGCGAGTCGGCTGCACGTGCTTCTTTTTTATGATACAAGATTCACTGGTTGTATCATGAACACTGTATTTTTTAGTGCGGTTAATCTTTACTTCGCAGTATAGGAAGGTAGTTTACGGTACATGTATATATACATAAAATCGTACACGACTTCTAAATAGAGGTTATCACGGCGACCCGCCGTATGAAATAGTGCTTGGTTGGTTGGTTGGTTGGTTGTTTAACGCCGCACCCAGCAACATTCCAGCTATATGACGGCGGTCTGTAAAATAATCGAGTCTTGACCAGACAATCCAGTGATTGATATCATGAGCATCGATCCACGCAATTGGGATCGATGGCATGCATCAACCAAGTCAGCGAGCCTGACCATGCACCCGATCCCGTTAGTCGCCTTTTACGACAAGCATAATCACCTTTTACGGCAAGCATGTGTTGCTGTAGACCTATTCTACCCCGGAATCTTCACGGGTCAAATAGTGCTTGGAACAGTTAAATCAGCTGTTCATTGTTGACAACATTCCGCGCCATTGTATGAATGAGGACACACTGAATCAGTCAGGTTGCCTATGTATAAGTGAGATGTTGGTAATGTTTGTAAAAGCTTCGTAGAAACAAAGGAAATATACAGAATATATACGTACGCTTGGCAGGCATTGACCTCCCTGCCATGGTAACAAATGGCAAATACCAGTGTACTATCTATAACACTGTCCTGTTTCTGCTCCTAATGGGGTCAAAGAACCAGCCGATTTCCTTGTAAAATGATTTCTTTTGTAGTTTATAAACAATATTCCAGCAGTATGACGGCGACCTATTAATATTCGAGTCTCGACCAGACAGTCCAGCTTTGTTCAAAATACGCCATTGTAAATTTATATATGTAAATTTCACATTCTCAGTTGAGTAGCTCAGATTAGACCAGCCATACTTGTTGCCTTATTGACGTCTTGTTTGTCATATCCCCGATTATCCATTGATATTATATCGCCATTCTATTCTGATAAATACCCATTGAACCCAATTCGGAGTGAACAAGGCTGAAAAAACCTGTCCAATCAAAGAACTCAATGTGCCAGGAGACGACTTTTGTGCTGAACGAGTTAACGATAGGAGAGTTAGAGTCACAGGCGTCACTCCCGAAACGAAATAATGATGGCGAATGATCCAGGGTATTTATCGTGAACAAAAGGAAGACATAATACCCGGGATACTCGAGGATGGTTTGTCATTAATGTGTTTCAATCCATCCTGTATTGCTTCATGATGCAGCGTCCGCGCGACGGACAATATAACTAAAGGCTATGTGACGGAAATTATATCCCGGCAGACTAGAAATTAAATACTTGGAGACATCAAATCAAAGTTGTGACTTTATCATCATTAGATTGTTTTAAATATATTGCAAGAACGTGATAGCGTCTAGACAGTGCCACCGCCGTTTCCGTGTCACTGGAGTGAGTGAATATGATTTTACGTCGCCTTTAGCAGTATTCCAGAAATTGACTTTGGACACATGTGGGCACTCGAACCCGGACCAGGGCCCCTCGCCGAATATGGTCGTCGGTGTTTCAGTAACCAGACCTGTAGGTTTCACCAAAGTTAGCATCTGCGACCTGTGTCACTTTCTCGTCTATCTACGAGAATTTGTTGATAAGTTTCAGTCTAGTCCAAACAACAATCTGCAAGTACGTGATCACTGCACGTTCCTTAGGTTTGTCAATCTTCTAAAGGGGGCATGGGTGGCCCAGTCGTCTTAAGCGCCGCGAATCGCTGTGCAGAGTTGCGTCCCTTGGGCACGCAAGACACCTATGATTGCGGGTTCGAATCCCGGTTCGCCCCGATTATGTTTCTAGGTTTGTCAGCACCATACCCGTGCTCGTGGGTTTCACCGAAGTGGTTAACGTCTGAGACCTGCATCACTTCGGGCTTTTCTC